AGGCTAGACGCTCTGCCAGGCCCCGCCTCCTGCATCACACAGCCTCCTGCCTCTACACCCTAAGCAGGCCTGGAGTAGAGACTGACGAGCTTTACAACTGCCCTGTCCCAGACCATACGCAAGAAACATTTCTCCTTGGTTCATGAAGAAGTCACCATGAATGCAGTGTGGGCTCCTGACTTTCATCCTGGCATTGAGTAGGAAGGAGGATTAAGAATTCAAGGCCAACAGCCTCCAAAGCCATAGAGAAACCTTGTCTCAACCCCCCCCCAAAGAATTCAAGGCCAAATAATAATAATTCAAGACCAGTAGTGGTGGTGTTCTCTTTTAATCCCAGTACTCAGGCGGCAGAGACAGGTGAATATCTGTGAGTTTGAGCTCAACCTGGTCTACAGAATGAGTTCCAGGACAGCAGGGTTACACAGAGAAACCTTGTCTGGAAAAAGAAAGAAAGGAAGGAAGGAAGGAAGAGACAGAGGGAGGAAGGAAAGAAGGAAGGAAGAGAAGAAAAGAAGCCCAGGCAGGCACAGTGGTGCACGCCTTTAATCCTGTTATGCAAGAGACAGAGATGGGCAGATCTCTGAATCCAAGGCTGGCCTGGTGGTCTACATAGTGATTTCCAGGTAGCCACAGCTACATAGTGAGACCCTGTCTCCAAAACAACAAAACAGAACCGAAGCCCAGTTGTACATGCCCCAGAAAACTAACAGTAGGAGAAATGAAAGTGAATAGCCGTCCAGTCCACTTACATTTCTTTCGTAGCATCAGTAATAGCCACATCTGGGCTTTGGTGTTGCCAGCCCATCAACAATGCCTGTGAGCTCAGTACTTGTCAGTGTCTCTGTACATAGACAAGGAGACTGAGGCACAAGCCCTATTAAGCACCGTGTCTGAAGTTTCCTTGGACAGATGCAGGACTCCCCTTAGTGTCCCTCATTTGAGCCATGCTGGTGCCTTCTGCAACCACTGCCTTTCAAAGCTGTCCTGCTCAGGCAGCAAGCACACCACCCCAGCAGGGTCACAAAGCTGTTATGTTTAACGTGCCTTAGCTTTTGAATTGTGACTATTCTTTTTTAATTTTTAAAAATTATGTTTACTTACTTACCGCAAGCATGGTGTTTTGTGGGAGTCAGTTCTGTCCTTTTTCCATGAGGGTCCATGAGATTGAACTCAGGTTATCAGGCTTGGCAGCAAATGCCTTTAAATGGCCTTTTTGCTGTCTCTTGTAAACCACTAAATCAGGGCCACTGTCAGACCTTGGAAGCTAGATCTACTCTTGTTCAGCCTACATCCCTGGGATCCGCTGTCATTTTCCATCTTGCTGAGACAGGATCTTGCTTACTGTTTCTGTATACTCCAGGTTTGCTGGCCTATGAGCTCCGGCTGCTTCTCCTGTCTCTATCTCCCATCTACAGAGTGCTGGGATTACAGATGTGCACCCCCACATCTGGCTTTTTCCTGGGACCTAAGGCAAACACTTTTGCCCTGCCTTGCATCAGTATGTAATGTGTATGTGTGACAGTATTCTGGTTGGACAGTGCCATAGGGGGTGAGATTGAAGTCTGGGGTTCATCCGCATAGAACATGGGAAGAGATGAGCTCCCTGACATAGTCTTTTTGCCATTCTCACAGGAGAGGGCTGGGGGACAAAAGGAACCCCCTTCTCCCAGGTCTCAGCACAGCCTCCTTGGACCAGAGTCCCAGGTTAGGAGTGGCTCTCGATCATAGAGTTTTACAGTGCGATGTGTCTGCTCGCCTCCCCTGATGGACCCTGTGCAGGGCACCAGCTGGACCTTGTTCTGTTAATATCCCCAACGTCTAATACAGTAACTGGAACACAGCAGGTACTCAATATGTGTTTGCTGAATGAAGGAAAGTGCTTTCTTTGCCTAAATCTGCTTAAAAACTATGTAGCTGGCATGTTGCCACGTACCCATAACCCCAGCACTTAGAAGGCTAAGGCTGGAGGATTGCCTCCAGTTTGAGGCCAACTTGGCCTATCTAGTGAGACTCTGTTTCAAAAAACAAATAAAAAAACCCAAACCCAGGTGTGATGTCATGTGCCTGCAATCCTACTGCTGGGGAAGAGGAGGCAGTTGGATCATAAATTCAAGGTCACCCTCCACTAAACAGAAAGTTCAAAGCCAGCTTGAGCTACATGATACCGTATGTTTCCAGAAACTGCCTATCCTAGACCTGCAAGGCTCCAGCTCCTGCTGTCAGCATGGGGACAGTGTCTGCCTGCATCTGCTTCTTTTCTTGGGCCTCAGAGTGATCCATTTGCTGACCTTGCTTAGCCAATCAGATTAAAATAATCACTACATCTATTGAATGTTTGCCAAATGCCAGCAATCTATATGAATTATTTGGACTCCTTATAGGAAGTTACTATTCTCACAGACAAGGAAACTTGGGCCTAAAAACACTCAGTGATATGCCTGAGATCATATCATATAGATATGAAGAAGGAAGGGAGGGAGGGAGGGAGGGAGGGAGGGAGGGAGGGAAGAAGGAAAGGAGAGAGGGAGGGAGGGAGGGAAGGAGGGAAGGAGGGAAGGAGGGAGGGAGGGAGGGAAGGAAGGAGGGAGGGAGGAAGGGAGGGAAAGGGGAAGAGAGGACAGAGGGAGGAGTGCCTATATGATTGTAGCTTCGATGATTTTCCTTTTTGTGCCCTAAGCACACTGGATATGGTCAATGAGACTAATAGGGACAGCTCATAGGACCCTGAACCAAGGCATCAGGGGGAGGAGGGAGGTGGTCCTCATGGAGAACATCCTGGAGTGACATTGAGTTATTCAGTAACCTCAGGTTCTTGATTCCCCAGGGACAACCTGCCTAGACCAGGCCAGGGCAGGCAGGAGACACAGATTCCCCTTGGCCCTTTAAATGCTTGGCTGGTCATGACTGGAAGCCAGAGATGAAAAGTCAGCGATTAGGAGGCCGACCTCAAGACTAGCCAGAATGGAAACTTGTGGTACAGATGTCCCTCAGAGGCCTGCTGTGGAGAAAGGCATGAGGGCCGAAGCCCATCACTTCACAGGGATATGGGGGGAGGACCAAGGACCTGACATTGCAGGTGATCAAAGAGCCAGCACTGGGCCTCTCCTGATGCTTGATGGGTAGTGGGTTGGAGAATCTTCCTAGATAGCAGACTGACAGAGGAGTCTTAGGGAAGGCCTTCAGGGCCTTGCCCTGTTGGACTAGAAAGGATGCCAGCTGGTACACATTGTTACTACATCAAGGTCACACCTCACATGCAAGTGCATGTCTCCTGCTGACAATATGCTGGCCCAGGTTTCCTGCTCTTCCAAGGAACTTCTAAAGCCCTCCCATGATTTAGCAATGAAGACCTAACAGAGGGTGGCCAGGGGCCTCCTGGACCCAAGCCTGTTATATGCCTGTACCAGATCCTCTGGTTGAGCCCCAGGACCTAACCCAGGGTAACCACTACATGAGTATTTATTGAATAAGTGAATGAGGAAGAGAAAAGGAGGAATTCAGGCCCTGGAGGAGTGTGAGATGAAAGGAGGTATCTGGAGATAGAGGAGGTTAGCATCAGACCAGAGTTGCCGTCCCTGTTCTGGGAGCTTGGAAGGGCTATCCCCTCCCAGGGTCTGTATAGACCTTCTGGAACAACCCAAACAAGTGCTGACCCCAAGCAGGGCTCAGGAAGCATCCCAGGGACAGGAGGTGACGCTGGTGGGGGTGTCCCATAGATGCAGAGCCATTATATAAAGGCTGTTTATCAGATATCCCCTAGGTCCCTGATATTAGTATTCAGGCATCTGTACTGGTCTGCCCTTGGGTTCCTGACAGGATACGTCCTCAGCTGCAGCACTAAGAGCCCCACCTGTGCACATTCTGTACATCCCCCCCCCCACTGCTGTGAGCCTTGTTGCATGGCATGACTTTTCTTCACGGCATTTTAAAATAAATAACAACCTTTCTGATGACCGAAGAGTAATGGAAAGTCTGAATGCAGCCGGCATGTACCACTGAGAGCTGGTCTTTCATGTGCCTGGCTGGACCATAGACAGGAAACCAGACACCTAGAATCCAGTGTTCTCCCCAGTCCACACAAGGGCAGGACGGAGGCTCAAGTCCCTCGTGAGACAGTGGGGGAACCAGACAAGGAGCAGTGGAGAATGAGCAGGTGGTCAACAAGCCATCCTTCCACCATCCCTACCCATTTCTTTATTTTTTCAAAGATTTATTTATTGTGTATATAGTATTCTGTCTGCACGTATGCTTGCAGGGCAGAAGGGGGCGCCAGATCTCATTACAGATGACTGTGAGCCACCATGTGGTTGCCGGGAATTGAACTCAGGACCTCTGGAAGCGCAGCTAGTGCTCTTAACCTCTGAGCCCTCCCTGCCCATTTCTAAGGAAGGACAATGCTCCTGGGGCCAACAGGTGTCAGCAAACAGTGCTAGTGTCCCTACCTGCTGTGAATAGCAGCCCCTTCCATAACTCTGGGCTCTGCAGCCCCTCCTTTTGGAGCCACAGTCTTGGCTCAGCACTTGGGTGGGTAGAGGCAGGGGCTTCTGAGGGGAGCCATCTGGTTTACCTCTACAGACAAAGAAGTTCTCAAGAGTCTGATTACTTACTGTTTGCCAGCCCCCAGTGGACAGATTTGTAGGAGGAGACTCCTTCCAGACTCCCATCTCCCAGGGAATGCCGACTCTGGGGTGGGGCGGCAAGAGACCTCCTGCTGAGGCTCGAGCAGCTGGTTAGTCCGCCAAGCCTGGAGAGCTCTGTCTTACTTTTTCCATCTCTTGTCCTAACTTTGGCGGGACCAGGTAGGACCTTTAAGGGACGCTAGTATTTTGGATGCCACTCTCTAAAGCCAGGTTTGAGGAGGCGAGACCCCTTGTGCCTCTGCAAGACCATGGGAAACAGGACCTGACCTGCGGGGCTAGTCCTCGCCAGCCTCAAGTTGAGGGGTGGGGCTCCCCCAGGAACAGCACGGCCTCCGGAGGGCGGGGCCTCATCTATACAGCCCAGGAGTCGGCTTGGCTGGCACAGCCCTGCTGGAGGCCCGGGACAGCACAACCGTGTCCATGGCTCGCACTCCTCGCCACCGGCGCCTGGTCCTGCCGCTGCTGTGCCTGCTTTTCCAGGGCGCCACCGCCCTCCTGTTTGCGGTCTTCGTCCGCTACAACCACGAAACCGACGCTGCCCTATGGCACTGGGGCAACCACAGTACCGTGGACAACGAGTTTTACTTTCGCTACCCAAGTGAGTGAGGGTGAGGGCGCGGGAAGCAGGGACTCCAAGCCCCAGGTGTGTTGGGAAGGGCGCTTGAATGAGGTGGGTATTCTTCCCTCCAGATGACAGCCAGAGCTTTAAAATAGCCCCCTCCCTCTAGTGTCCGTCCGTCTTGTTCCAGGCCCTGCTGGGGATGGCACTATGTCAGGCTGAGGTAAGGTAAGGTTCAGGTTCACACAGTAAGGGGCCCTGGGGCTTCAATCCCGTTGTAAATAAGCCCGGCGTTAACCAGTGTTGTCTCACCTTCCATTGGGGCTAACTTGGCTTTGTAGAGGAGTCCATCTTGACCGCAGGAAAGAGAATCCGTCTGGGGCTGGCAGGTAGGGTGTTGAGGCGATAATAGAGAGATAGGTGTGAAACTCCCCCGTACACACATCTAAGATTGGTTTAGGCACAGACGTTCGAGGGTCAGAGTGAGACGTAATGGACCAGCTCACCAGATTCAAGGTCAGCATGAAGCCAGTTAGGGGGACGCTCCGCAGGGCATCGTGTCACCTCACAGCCTACGGTGGCTCTGGTGAGCCCGTTATCATCCACAATGGGTCCAACAGTGAGAATTGGGTTTAGACACCATAAACTCCTTGACCAATGGCCATTTCCCCCTGACAAGGTCCCAGATGGGGAGTTAACCCCCAGAGGGAGATGGGGCATCTCACTCAAGCTTGTAACTGAGGCACTGGGTGTCTGGAGCCAAGCATACCGCCCTCCTACCAGTGCACAGATCAACTTTCTTTAATCCCAGTTCCCCATGTGGGCAGGAGGAAGATATAGTGGTAGCTCCTGCCTATAACCTCAGCACTCAGGTGTAGAGGCAGCTGGATCTGCAGTTCAAAGCCAGCCTTGGCTACACAGTGAGTTTGAAACCAGCCTGGACTACACAAAACCCTGTCTCAAAAAACAAAAATGAACCCTAGGTGGATTCCTGCATTCCTTTAATCCTAGCACTTGGGAAGTAGAGGCAGGGCTAGCCTAGTCTACAGAGTGAGTTCCAGGATGGCCAGGCAGGTCTAAACGAGAAACCCTGTCTGGAAAACCAAACCAAGCCAACCAACCAAACAAACAAACAAAGGAAAAAGCAAAATGTCTCAGTTTGAAGGACATTCAAATAAGGCCTGGGGTATGAGAGTCCCCACCTCACCCTCATAAAGCAACAGGGCTATTACCACCCACTCTACAGCTGGCAGCAGGGTCTCCTCACCTCACCCTGGCCTGGCCCTAACTCTGGGGACACAGAAGTCTGAGAGACCGTGGTAGCAAACACCAGACCCCTAACCAACCTCAGCATCCCCTTTCCACAGTTTATTCCCAGCTGCGGAAGTTGGCATCAAAACCAAAGCCCTGAAGCTGGCTGTAGACTGCTGGCCTTGACTGCCCAGAGAGCCTGGGACTTGGGAAGTAGCGGGCCAGAGAAGTGAGGGAGGGGAGCTTTGCCTCCCTGTCTAAACTGGCCGGGAACGGCTTCACTTAGGGCCTCCAAGCCTACCTGTTTGTTGCAAAGCCCTCCACGAATCCTGCCTCTTACAGCTGCGGTAGTGCTGGGCTCTCCTCCCCAAAAGGACAGCAAGGACCAAGGTAGAGTTACTGCCTGTCTGCACTGGTGTCAATTTCTGTGGACTTTGACCCTGCTGTTTGGGAAAAGCTAGGCAGGAGGGAAATGTGAGGTCCCGAAAGCCTGGACTTTGATGAGCCGGGTCCTCACCTGTTCCCATGTCCAGAGGAAAGGGTCAAGGCCAGAGGGCAGGTGGAAACCACCCTTTGATTCGGAAGATGAAAGGATTGTATGGGTAAGCAGAGGCAGCCCAAGGCTGCAGGCATGCTCACTCTAAGAGGCTGTCTGTAGATGGCAGTCTCTCCCCAGATAGGACAGGATGGCCCCTCAGATCCTTGGTCTACCTCTCTCCCATGAGATGTAGGCAGAGGGCCAGGAAGGTCACTCACCTCCCAAGATCACATGACAAGTTACAAGAGGAGGAGCTGGAATCGGGCCTCTTGATTCCCCATCTGGAAGCTGCTCACATCACCGGGCTCACCTTATCTTTTAGGCTGGGTCGCAACAGTGTAGCCCAGGCTAGTCTCAGATTTACCAGCTTCCTGCCTCAGTTTTCCAAGGACCGGGGAATACAGGTGTGGACCACTGTGCCCTGCCCGCAGGCCTCTTATTCTACAGAGCAAGTGGTTTGAGGTGAAAGGGCAAAGAGCCGCAGAGTAGCGAGAGGAGAGTTCTGAAAAACTAAGGAAGGCCTCCTTCAGATGGGCGGTGGACTGACTCACAGAATCGGAGATGGGGAGATGGAGTTTGGGACTGTGGCCTGTTCCGAGAGGATTCAGGCTCCTTTCTAGAAGCCGGGCTGGAAGAGGCTGGAAGATGGCAGCTCCCACTCCCCTCCTCCTCTTGCCTTCTATCCACCTTTCCCAGAGGAGACACCTGAGGCTTAGACAGGCCTCAGGTCATGCATCCAAGATGGCAGTGTCGGCTGCGCTGGATGCTGCGGTGGCAGCCCTAACCATGGCCTTGCCCTGGTCCTGTCCTGTCAAGGAGGAAACTGGGGAGGGAAGGCTGGCAGTGGCGTCCCCAGAGGGCTTTGTTTGTTCTGTCCCGTTTCTTATTGAGACAGGGCATCATGTAGCACAGGCTGGCCTCCAACTCACTATGTAGGCAAATCTGGCCTTGACCTCCTCATCCTCCTGCCTCTACCGCCTGCATGGCAGAATTGCAAGCGTGTACCACCATGGCTGGCTGGGTTTGAGTTTTCAGTGCAAACAGAAGCATTTAAAACAAGCTCAGAGCAGTTGGGAGAAGTTCCTGCATGAACAGTCTTTGAAGCATGCCACCCAGCCCCCTTTGCTTTTTTACTGTCCTTGGACAAGAGCAGAAAGAGCTCCTCTTCGATGTTTGAGCAAGGCAAAAAGGCAGTCAGAGGTCTGAAAGACTGTAGGCTAGCCAAGTGTGGTGGTGCACACCTTCAGGCCCAGCACTTGGGAGGCAGAGGCAGGCACACCTCTGAGACCCCCAGTTGCAGGACCCAGCTGTGCACCACTAGAATGTGTTCTGCTCACACCCGCAGACAGCTCCGGAGCAGTGCAAGCTGTGCTTCTCTCGGGGCTCCTGTTTGCATCCCAAAGTCCAGCAGCGGCCTTCAGCTAGCTATGCCTCCTGAGAGCAAACAACTCAAAACATGGGCCTGAGAATCTGCCTCTCCCTATGAGAAATTCACGGCCATTCGTGATAAAAACGTGTACAAGTTGAATATCATTATGAGCACCCTTGGAGCCAGAGGGTTTCGGTTGGGGGGGTATTTATGTATACATAGTGAAATGTCTTGAGGATGGAACTCAAGTCCAGACAAGCAGGCCACAGATGTCCCACATACACCCTATACAAATAGCCTGCAGGTGATTCCATGCAATGTGTTTAGTGAGCCTGAATTTTGAGTAAAACCTATTGGGCAAGACCCTGTGTGGGTGTGGAATTTTCCACTATGGCATCACACTGAGGCTTGAAAACTTTCTGATCCTGGAGCATTTGGGGTTGCCAATTTGGACAGTGAACACACATAAGGAAAGACAAGCAAAAAAAATTAAGTGCAACGTCTGCAGTGAAAATCTCATGAGAGGAGAGACACGTGGCAGCAGGGACTTTGCTGCAGCCCCGAGCCCCCAACGATAAAGGTCCGTGGGAAGGAGTCTGCGTTCTCATCAGAACAGCAGCCTCCTCTGTGCAGGCTCCGATTCTCCGGTCTGCCTCCACTCCTGAGAGCAGGAACTGACTTCCTGGTTGCAGCTGTGCTCCGGAGCCCCACCCGCAGATGTCAGCCCGTGGGAAGCACATGTAAGGGAAGGGACGTCTGTCCGTCCTAGAGCAGTGTCTCACGTGGAGTATGAAAGTCCCTTGTCCCCGGACATTTTCAGAAAGGGAACTCCCACAGGCTTTCTGCTGGTGGGGTTTGTGTTTGCTTGTTCATGATTTTTTATTTTTATTGATTTTTTTTTGAGACAGTCTCATTGTGTAACCCTGGTTGTCCTGAAACTAATTCACTATGTAGACCAGGCTGGACTCAGAGAGATCTTCTGGCCTCTGCCTCCCAAATGCTGGGATTAAAGGTGTGCGCCACCACACCTGGATTTGCTCATGGTATTTTGAGACTGAGCTTCTTTCTAGGCGATTCTCCACCTCCCATTTCACTGTAGGAGTGCCAGGGTTACAGATGTGGTTACCATATCCAGCCTTCCACACGGGTTCTGGGTTGCTTATGTGGCCTGCTCTCCATCTCCCAGAGCCATTATGCTAATTACTCAACAGCTTATTTGTATAAATCTTATTTTCAGCATTACTGAGTATTATGCATTTGTTCAGAAAGCAAAGAGAAAAGGCCCCAAGTCTGCCTGTCTGGAAGCCCCACCCCTGCTCAATAGTTCAAAGGAAACTGACCACTGTGGTCCCATGCTGTGAGCCCATCACTTGGGCAATTGAGGCAGGATGCCCAAAGTCTGAGGTAACCTGGACCACATGGTGTGACCCTGTCTCAACAGAGCATAACAAAAAATTCAACTTATAGAATGAAACCAACTGAAAGGCAGTCCTCACTCCTGAGGACTCCTTCAGACACACGGGGCTGTCCTTGCACTGAGCTGTACACCACAGCAGTCTGCCCTCTCCCTTCAATTCCTCTGGGGTGGGGTTAGTCCCTGTCAACAATTATTTTTATTTTAATCTCAAAATAGGGAGGCATAAACTTCAAAAGATGAGAGATGGAAGTTAGACATCAAGAAGGACTTCCTTGTGGCTAGGGAGATGGCTCAGTGTGTGAAGTGTTTGCTGCATAAGTATTAGTACCCGAGTTTAGATCCTCAGCACACAAGTAGAAGTCAGACATAGCGGCGCTCATTCATGATCTCCGCACTGAGGGCAGGGAGAGAAAGACCCCAGGGCTTGCTGGCTGTCTGCTCTGTCGTGTTGATGAGGTCCAGGTTCACTGAGGGACCCTACCTCTGTACAAGGCACAGCGTGGTGGAGAGAACCACAGTATCTACATCTGCACATACGCGAATACATAAGACCATGTATAGACTGCACACAGGGAGAGAGGAAAAGTGGAAAACACTGGCCATCTGCCTCTGCCCTCTACACGCACACGCGTACACGCAACTCACACACGCACACACGCACGCATACACACCCAAATATATGAGAACATATACACATTGTATACAGAGAATGAGGGAGAGAGGAGAGTGGAAAACACTGGCCATCTGCCTCTGCCCTCTACATGCACACGAGTACACGCACACGCACTCACACGCACGCATACACACCCACGCATACACACCCAAATATATGAGAACATATGCACATTGTATACAGAGAACGAGGGAGAGTGGAAAACGCCATCATCTACCTCTCCTGTCTTGCACACATGCACACAAGTGCGTACACATCCAAAACCACGAGACCATTTGCACTCTGCCCCGAGGAAGAGGGAGGCTCTCCAGAAGAAGGAAGGAGAATCTTGTGTGTAGAGGGGACAGGGCCTGCAGCAGCAGAGCGAACTGGCTGAGCCACCCTCTCAGGTGAGTAAATGGGTCAGGGAGGAGGAAGCCAATGCTTCCGCAGGAACTTCTAGTTCCTCCTGTTTCCCCTCTGACCAGGGATGGCAAGGATGGCGGAGCCCTGCTGCCGCTAAGCCTGGGAATTTTGCAGGCATGGTGCGGCTCTAAGACAGTCCCGACTGTCTTAGAGCCAGGCGCTGGCGGGGGTCGGCTGGCTGATGGGTATGACTGGAGCAGGCTTCATGACACTGCTCCCTCTCCTCCTTCCCCTCCCCTGTGCACCCGCAGGCTTCCAGGATGTGCACGCCATGGTCTTTGTAGGCTTTGGCTTCCTCATGGTCTTCCTGCAGCGGTACGGCTTCAGCAGTGTGGGGTTTACCTTCCTCGTGGCCACCTTCACCCTGCAGTGGGCCACACTGGTCCAAGGCTTCCTCCACTCTTTCCATGGCGGCCACATCCATGTTGGTTTGGAGAGGTGGGCAGCAGTAAGTCCCCGGCTCCCTCAGAGGCCCTGTTCCCCAAACGGTGCCTGCTTAAGCTCTGCTCTTCAAGTCTGCTAACTGACCCCGGCTTTGCCCCCAAACCACCTTCTCCGGGCCGCTGTCCCTTCCCGTTGTCTGACTTATGCATCTCTACATTCACCCACACCCACCTCTGTCACCTGAATTCCTAGGAGCCCTGGCAGGCAGTGAGAATGACTCCTCCTGTCTCCTGCTTCTTCAGCCTAGAGTGGGCTTAGCCCTTCCCAGGGCCTCCCCCCTCCTCTGCAAGGGTGGGTGGCACCCAAGGAGAGCTGCCCTGGTGCTGCCTGTCCTCACCCTGCCCTGCATGCCCCTCTGCCTGCTGGGGCCTGGACCCACCGGGAACCACTCTGCTATCGTTCCACACCCCAAACTGCAGTTTGATCAACGCTGACTTCTGTGCGGGTGCTGTGCTCATCTCTTTCGGGGCTGTTCTGGGCAAGACCGGGCCAGCCCAGCTGCTGCTAATGGCCCTATTGGAGACAGTGCTCTTTAGTGTCAACGAGTTCATACTGCTTAGTCTCCTAGGGGTGAGTCTGGCCAGGAGTGGGTGAGACCTGGTGCTGGCCCAGCTCTGGGAGGGGAGAAGTGGGTGGGGGCAGGGCTGTCTGTCTCACAACATCTGTCGTCCCCAGGTGAGAGATGCTGGAGGGTCCATGACCATTCACACATTTGGGGCCTACTTCGGGCTGTTCCTCTCACGGGTCCTCTACAGATCCCAGCTGGAGAAGAGCAGGCAACGCCAGAGCTCGGTCTACCATTCTGACCTCTTTGCCATGATTGGTGAGGCCCGCTGAGGGCAAGAGGCATGAGCTGCCGAACACCGTGCCTGGGGAAGGTCTCCTGGCACTCCAGCCATCCTTCGGGTCCTTCTTGACACTGCTGGGGTACAGATAAGCCCACACCAGGCCCTGGGGCCTTTCAAGTCTACTTCAGTCCCGCTTGAAACCTCCTTGGGCTACGGAGCCCACACACGGGGAGCCCACACATGGGGAGCCCACACGTGGGGAGCCTGACCCTTCACCCACTGCCCAGTCCTTTCTCTTCCGTGCCCCTGCCGGTTCCGGTCACCTGTGCTTGAGCTGGCCTTCTCAGCCCAAGCTCCTCCTCCCCAAGAAGGCCTGCACTGAGGCAGGGAAGCAAGTTCCTCCAGGTTCCCACCTCTGGTGGCTCTGTCCTCACAGCCTGCCGTCTGGAGTCCATGTTTCCTATGGGGTGTTGGGTGCCTGCTCTTGCATAAGCAAGCCTGGCTTGGTTTTCTTGCCCACCTTAGGTTCACTGCAAAAGAGCTGAGCCTCCTTGCCCTTAGCAACCCTCCACACATGAGGTCTCCAGGTGGAGTGGTCGGGGAAGGGGAGGGAGGCCAGATTGTCTGTGCCTTCTCTACCCTGAGAACTGGGCGGGGCACTGGGAAGGTCCTCATCTTGAGGCAGCATTAGGACTTTGAGGCAAAGTGAAGGGTACATGTTACACACAGTCTCCTGCCCTGCTGGACCAGCCTTCAAAATTCCAGCTTCTCCTTCCGCCTCTGAGATTAGTCTGGGAGACTTAAAGCAGGGCCAGGTGGTGGCGGCGCATATACCTTTGATCTCAGCACTCCGGAGGCAGAGGGAGGTGGATCCCTGAGTTGGAGGCCAGTCTGGTCTGCACAGGACAGCCAGGGCTACACAGAGAAGCCCTTTCTCAAATGAGCGTAGCATTTGTAGGCATTATTCTCTCGACTTTCAACAGTGGAAGATTTTTTTTTCTACCAGTTCCAGGAACCAGTGAGGAAACAGGCTGCATAGTAACTTATCTGCAGTGCAGCGCCCCCTGGTGACGGGGCCACTCTATGAAATGCTCACTGTGGCTTCCCACCGTTCAGGGACCATCTTCCTGTGGATTTTCTGGCCCAGCTTCAATTCTGCGCCCACAGCACTGGGGGATGGGCAGCATCGGACAGCACTCAACACGTACTACTCCCTCACTGCAAGCACCCTCAGCACCTTCGCCTTGTCAGCCCTTGTCAGCGGGGATGGCCGGCTGGACATGGTATGGGGAGGAGATGGGCAGTCTGGCAAAGGGAAGAGATGTCTAAGAGCCTGCAGGAGGTCTCCAGGGCAAGCACTGAGCCTCCGTCTCAAGCAGGGGAGAGCGAGGGGGCTGTGTATGGAAGCAGGAGAGTCAGTGGCTATTCGGCAGTGGGACTTCAGAAGCAGTGGATGCCACTGTCGGGGGGGGGGGCAGGAACGTGTGTGGGTGCAATGATCTGAAAGACACCTTTTTGTCCCCTTAGGTCCACATCCAAAATGCAGCACTGGCTGGAGGGGTTGTGGTGGGGACCTCAAGCGAAATGATGCTGACACCCTTTGGGGCTGTGGCAGCTGGCTTCCTGGCTGGGACTGTCTCCACGTTGGGGTACAAGTTCTTTACGGTATGGCTGCTTCTCAGGACCTGGAAAAAACATGTGAGGGAAGGAGGTGAACCAGGGTTCCCAGCCCTCTGGCACTTCCCCACCAGGCCCTGTGTAGGGGTAGGTGGACTGCCCACGCCTGACTATGCAACTTGTCCTCCAGCCTGTCCTGGAATCCAGGTTCAAGGTGCAAGACACATGTGGTGTCCACAACCTCCATGGGATGCCAGGGGTCCTGGGGGCCCTCCTGGGAGTCGTGGTGGCTTGGCTGGCCACCCATGAAGTTTATGGAGATGGGTGAGTCTGCACTGACCTCTCTGGAATGGCTTTCCTTCTCCCCTGAGAGCCAGGGAAAATCCCCATCTGTTTTCATCGGCCATTCTCCCGCCACATGGTGAGAGGGGAGGGCCTGCCCAGGCCTGGCCTCCTGGTCGGTGCCGTGGATGGCCATCAAGAGTGTTGAGCATTCCTCCGGGACCAGTAAGAGACAATGAATGACCCAGGGGATCTACATTTCACACTGTGAGCTAGGAGCTGTGGCAAAGGGACCTTAGCTGGATTCTGTAAAGTACGTGGGGTTGGCTGGCTGAGGAAAGGAGGGCAAAAGCGAGGCCTGGCTGAGCAGAGGCCTGGGTGAGAGAGACAGTGGGGATCCCTGGACACCCTCTGGCTGCTCATATCTGGATGCCGCGGTGACCAGCCTGGGCTGCCTGTTCCACACCCATCTTTCTCCATCTGGTCTCCTTTCAGCCTGCAGAGTGTATTTCCACTCATAGCCCAGGGCCAGCGCAGTGCCACGTCTCAGGCCGTGTATCAGCTCTTTGGAATGTTTGTCACACTGGCGTTGGCCTCTGTGGGTGGCAGCCTTGGAGGTGAGTGCCTTTAGCTGGGCAGGGGGGTAGGTGAGAGCCCCAAGGACAAGCACCCAGGAGGAAGAGCAAGGGATACTGAGTCCTTAATGCAGTCTCATTTCCACCAAGATCCTTCCAGAACACCTGCCTGTGCTGCAAGGGGGCAGCATGACCTCCCAGTGAGGAGGTACTGGTGGCAGATCGTACCCTCCAGCTAGTCTCTTCGTTACGGGGTCTGTTTCATGTGCTGCTCCCTTATGCCACTAGAGGGCAGCCCAACCCCAGCTGCTGGGAAGGGGCCAGTTCAACCTCCTCTGGGCAGCAGCAGATGAGTGCTAGCTCTCCCTGGACCAGAGCACAAGCCTTCTGCACAAGTTGTCTGTTCGCTGACCCTCGGTCAGGCACTTCTTCTTGATACCCTCTGCTTTAAGAACAAAACCTGGGGTGCCGGGTGATGATGGCGCACACCTTTAATCCCAGCACTCAGGAGGCAGAGGCAGGTGGATCTCTGTGAGTTCAAGGCCAGCCTGGTCTACAGAGCGAGCTCCAGGACAGCCAGAGCTACACAGAGAAACCCTGTCTCGAAAAGCAAAACAAACACAAACAAGACCAACAACAGCAAAGATGAACAAAACCTGATGCAACATCCCTACCCTTCCACATCCCTCATCCTGAAAATCTCCATCTCTACGGCCAGTTCCCGGGGCATACATCCTCTGGGCCCCTCCCATTGGGGCGGGGCATAAAAGGATCGTCAGCTCCACTTCACGACAGAATCGCAGTATGACCTCGAACATGAACAAATCCCTTCACTCTACCAGCTGGCTTCTTTGTGGGCAACTCGGGTGAAACCACCTTGCAGGGCTGCGCCTCCTCAGAACAGTGGAACCCAACAGCCCTTGGCATAGGCTTGGGTTTGCCTTGCCTCAAGCTTAGCAACCTGTGCCCCTTGAGTAGGGACGGGAGAACCTTATGTATCCTTCCCTATGACACCCAGGGCTCCTGCTGAAGCTGCCCTTCCTGGACTCCCCTCCAGACTCCCAATGCTTCGAAGACCAGATTTACTGGGAGGTGAGACGCCAGCTGCGGGTGTTTGTCCCCATGTGGCCCTCTCTGCCGCCGCCTTACCTCTGGGCTGCCGCCTGCCTTTCCTTGTTGGAGGGCTCCTTCATCAAGACCCCTAGAACTTTTCTTTAAACCTCCCTGCCTTTCAGGTACCTGGAGAGCAGGAGGCTGAGGCCCAGAGGCCTCTGAGGGCTGAGGAGCAGGACACCGAGGCCTAATTGCTGTCAGCATGACACCGTCTTCAGAGGAGAAGATGGCTCCTGCCAGCCATGACTGTGTTTTTGGAGAAGACAATGGCTTCTGCCAGAAGGTCCTTCTCAGTCCTTGTTACTATCTTACAAGAAAGTCTAGAGCCGGAAGGGACATTCAGTCCCTGGCAGATCCCCGTTAGCTTGCACATGTGGCCAGAACAGGCCACGACCAACCCTAGGAGGCTTGTACCCCACTAACCAGTGTTAGACACCAGGCCCAGGCCCACTCTGGCGGGAAGCTGGACGATAAACAGCACTGTCACCAAGGACTCTGACACCTTCGGTTTGTGCCTGTTCACTTTAACCCCTGAGGCCAAAATTGAGATCTCAGTGTGACAAAGCCTCTTCCGACCCACAGAGTTCCATTCAGGGAACCACATCCTACTGGGGATATGTTCCAACCAGCTCCATCCTCTTCAGGGGGCCACTATAGTGCATAGTGCAGGAGTCTGTGCCTCTTTAGCCAGTTAATGGTGTCCCCAGATCCTTCCTGGTCCATCCTTAACTGCTGCTGCCCTGGCCCTCCACTTCTGAGCAGAATCAGAAAAGGCCCAAGAAGGGCATCAGAAGGAGTGGCTTGCCACAAAACCTCAGCGGCCAGAAGCAGCTGTCACCTGAAGCCAGCTCACAGTTCTGTCCTGAATCTGGGAAGCCTCTAATAGGGAAAGGTCACGAAGCTCTGAACTGTGGATGCCGGCACCGGGATCCTGGTGGCATAAATAATTTTGGCCACGAGGGGGCACTCTAAAACCATCAGAAGCTACCACTCCAGGTCTCCCCTAGGTCCTTCTTGTAACCTTCCTAGCAGCATGAGGGTTGGTCCTCAGGCATCCATGCCCCAGCCTTCCCCGAGTTCCACCCCTTCTGCACATCAGATGATACCAGAGACTTCATCCCTTCCTCAGGTGGGAGCCCCCTTCCCAATGAGGAACTGGGACCCCTGTTCCTTCCCTCACTTGACCTACCAGTGGGCTTCTGGCAAAAGCTGAGCACAGCTACAGATACATCTACCTCCAAACTAAGGTTCTTCAGAGCTAGGAACCCAAAGAGGAAGTATATACCCTAGGCCCCAACCCTCGGAGAAAGGCAAAGCTGCCCAGTGTGTTCCTGGGCTCTCCAGGTTTAGCTAGGGAGGTGAAGGAACAAGCTCTCCAGGGGGGATCTTCAGCTGCCAGCGCCCCCTCCCATAGTTCCCTGCCCACTGCCGACTGAGGATGCCAGGATCGAAGTAGAAGCTCTGAGTCACTTTGGAGAAGCCCCTGGTCTGCCCTGCCCCAACTGCTGCCCAGGCCTTTCTGGTGGAGGAAAGCTGTGAACACTCTTTTACTCGTGACACAGGTTTCCAGTCTGCCCTCTCTGCTGCTGCTTCGTTCTGAACTGCAACCAAGCCTGAAAATAAATGGACTCTTCCAACACTGGGAGAAGCCTCTCAGTCCTGGAGAAGGGACATTTCAGGCCTTTTCCAGATAAGGCATTGTTCAGTGAGTTTCAAGTGGGCCAAAGGCTGCTATTCCAGGATGGCCCGACAGAAGCCACTGAGAAGAGAGACAAGGAGAGGGTGTTCACGAGTCACGCCCTGCATGTATTGTCACCAGTGAGTTCTAAGTTTCATCACTGCCACAAACCCCCATGTGCACAATGACACATTCCACCACTAACTCTGGCACCCTGGCCCAGCTGTTCCGGGGACTCTGCCCGGGCCCAACTGTTTAAAACCACAGCTTTGGATTTTCACCGAGTGTTTCCTTTCCCCCATTTGTCTTAAATGCAGGGACACGTGGTGGTCCTGTAGGGTGTCCTATTTCATCCACTGTACATTCCAGTCAGAGTTAAAAGGTACAGGAAAGACAGACAGGTCTCTCTGGAGCCCCTCCCTCCAGCGAGGAGCCCCGGGACCGCATTATCACTGGTCCCCCTCTCGGTGGCCTATCTATTCAGGATGGGTCAACAGATGCCAAGGACAGGGGCATGTCATCCCTCAGGACAATGAGACTTCTGCATCTCTGATCAGCATGCTAGCACGCTCAATGAAGGACAAGGGGACACTCGCCTGCTTATGAACTCTGTCCAGCCCCAGTGCCTGAGCCCTGGGAACAATGATGAGTCCTTACCTCCTGCCTGCTTCTGCGGACTAGACTGAGGAGCAGGCAGGCTGTTGGAGAAGATGAGGCCCGCATAGCTAGAAGCACTGCAGGAAGTCCCTCCAGAGCGAGAGCCACTACTCGGCGTGGCATATTGTATGTGCACCACAGCAAGGATCCTTGTCCAAAGCCAGGGCCTTAGGGTGCTCGGGCAGCTGTCCTCTATGGTCTGGGGTGGGAGGCTACCTGGTTCGGAGTAACCTGAGACCGGCCGGGCACATTGGGATTCGCATCACGGCGCCGGCCGCTCCGTGCAGGAATTAGACACGGCGCGGCATCCGAGGTGCGGCCCAGTGGCCGCCGTCGCCCTCCCTCCCCCGGCGGCTTTGTCTGGCGCACTGCGCCCACCGCCCGGCGCCCCCGTGCGCCGCCAACAAAGCAGGCTACTGTCCCCAGGCCGTATGCAAATGCTCCAGGCGGCCAGCGTCCCGCCGCCGGTTCCCAGCCTGAAAGGGTCGGCCGGGCAGGGGGCGGCCGTGCTCCGGGGATAGAGCACCATTGTCTGTGCCGTCCATTGCAAGGGGACCTGCACCGGCTTCGGGAGCTTCGGCTTTGGGGTCAGACCGAGTGGGTACGCACTATCTCCCACTCCCACCCCCGCTAGCTAGCCTCTAAGGACAGCCCATATCTCCGAGCCACTGTAGTAGCTGGGGTTCAAACCAGCAGCCATCGGTGCTCGGTGCTCGCCCTGCTTAACCCACCTCTGCCCTCCCGCCTTTTCTCACATCCAGGGGAACCTGACAGATGCTACTGGGAACAATTCTCTTCCAGAGTACAGAGCAAAGTACTCAAGTTGTCCCCAAACAGAGCAAACCACAAGGCAAGATGCTATTGGGTCTTCGGTGGCAGATGAGCAGCCCCGGGACTGCTCAGGCCCACCTGAGGTCTTTCGGAGGATCATCAGCTAAAAGAGAATTGAGTATAAACTGCTGCAGTGATACTGGAGGTGGGACAAGGAGGCCTGTGGCCCCCTAACCAAAGCAATGGCTCAGCCAAGGCGTCCTCAGAGAGGTGCCAGAGTGTGCCCTGGGGGCACAGTCCCTAACTCAGGAAGCAGACCCAAGATTCCTGATGCAGGGCTAGAGTCCTCTTAAAGCCCCCCTGGTGAGAGCCACTTAGGAGAGTCTCAGTTTCCCTGCAGCTTTGATACCTGAAGACTTGTGAATAATTTCAGGCAGAATTAATCAAACTAATCCCAAAGTAAAAAGTGTGCTGGTGGAAACTGGTGGCACACGCCTTTAATCCCAGCACTCCGGAGGCAGAGACAGGTGGATCACTGTGAGGTCTGGGACAGCCTGATCTACCTAGTTCCATGACAACCAGGGCTACACAGAGACCCTGTCTTCATAAAACGAAAGCAAAGTGTACCGTATGTGGCGGCGTATACCCGTAACATCAGCGCTCGAGAGGTGGAGGCGAGGCAGGAATTCAAGGCCGCTCTGGACTACAAGGTGTGTTTCAGGACAGCCTGGGATATAGACTCTGTCCCATAAGGGCGAGAAGCACCTGTGATTTCTACAGCAGTGAGAAGACAAGCTGCCAAGGCCAGCGACAGTTGGGAGGGGGCTGCTCTTCCAGGAAATCTTGGTGCACAGCAGCCCCAGTACTGGACTCTGGCTGCTGCTTCCTGCCTCGCCTGTTTCTGGGATAGCATTTGAGACACTACAGAAAGCATGGGGAGATGGCCAGGGGATCAGCGGTAGAAGCTGTAGCATTTCCTGGTGCCAAGGAAGCAGGCACCCTTAGCTCCTTGGAAACCAGTCCCATGTACAGATCTCTGATCCATCTCCAACATCTCCAAAGTTAGCCTCATGGAGGCTGCTCTGGGGCCCTCAGCAGTTGCTTCTGGAAGAGGCTCAAAAGCACTTTCACAGCCCCGGAGAGACCAGGGCTGCTTTCTAAAGGCCCCTGTCCTGTAGGCCCTCTGCCTTTGGCCTTTATCTCCAGGGCTCTCTGGGCCTGTGGTTTTAGTTCCTGGGCAGGGCCCAAGGAGGCCCCTCTTGGCTCTGAGGCTGAGGGAAACAGGCTTTGTTGTGCAGGCACCCTCTGGTTCCTGAAGCTTTACTTTCCCACCCTGCTCTTGGCAAGCGAGTCCTCAGCAGGAGAAGCCTCCCACCCCCAACCCTGCCCCAGCACCCCTCCTTCCCTGCTCAGCACCATCCATCTTCGTCTCCCCAGAGCAAGGAATGCGCCTCAGGACACTGTGGGGCTTGTTCCCAATGCCCTTCTAGCTCATTTCCCCCGGGCTTTTACACACTGGCCTCCATCCCATGGCTGCTGTCTGGGTTTTGGTTCTAAAGGAGCAGACGGAGGCCCCTCCTCCCCACAATTCCTCATGCTTCACTTTGCCCCAACACCGCACAGGAGGCTGCACCATGGAGGGTCAAGGAACCCTGGGGTGGGGGCAGGGTCCCCCAGACCCCAGCTCTACTGCTCAGACACCCAGCACTATGGTGATGTCTGCCTATTTAGGCCCGGGCTACAAACCATTCATCCCTCCTCCTGGCCTTTCTGGTCCCACCAATCCAAGCACCAGGCTTCTTGTTGGCGGTTGCTAACCAGGGCCACTATTCATGGGCCCCAGAGGTGCTGAACAGGACACTGCTATTACCTGCCTTTCAGCATGGTGCTGACCTGCATCTTGGGAACAGCTGCTCTCTCCCAGACCGCCCAGGGCCTCAAGCCTTGAGGCTTAGCAAGCATTTAGTGAACAAACATTCCTTAGAAATGGAAAGGACGAGTTACACTTCCGGAAGTCCCCCACACTGGATCCAGGAAGGCTAGTATGAGGGTGTCTGATGGCCTCGCAGTGTGCGGGTGTCAGGCAGCCTCGTGCCGGGGTCTTTCTTCCTTACCACACCCAGGGGGTCGGGACGCTGTATGTGGAGACTCTGGTTACGGGGAGCTTGGGTGTGTACCCTATGGTACCTCATTTCTCTTGGCAACTGTAACTCTCAGTGATGTCTAGTCTGGAGTTCCTGTTTGCTTGCTAGCTTCCCTGGGTGATTTTCAGCCCCCGGCCTGGGGAATCATCCCTGTAGGACAGTGAGATAGACTATCACAGGACTTGGTGACACACCTGACTGCAACAGCCGCCTGACAGCCACCCAGCCCCACCGCGTGGCCCGAGAGGT